TATATTTAGGAATAAATCTAATGAAAGATACAAATAACCTATCCAAAGAAGACTAATATATGAGAAACCAAAAAAGAACTATATAAATGGAAGAATATTCCATCTTTACAGATGGGAAGATGCAACACTGTGAAACCAGCAATACGCCCAAAGTCAATCTACAGATGTGATGCAATCCTGGTTTGGACTCTATCATTCTTCAAAGAGATGGAAAAAAGTAATTATCTTCTTTATAGGAAATGAAATAAACCCTGGATAAACAAAATGCTAATGAGATGAAAAACAAAGTAAGAGGTATTGTACTTTTCTATCTCAAAAACCTACCAAACTGCCTGGTACTTGCTACAGCAACAGATACACAAAGGAATAGAACTGAAAATCCCCAAGTAAATCCATGCACCTTTGGACAGCTTAATTTTGATCAAAAGAGATGAAATCTATTAAACTGAGGGGAAAGGTAACCTTTTTAACAAACCATTCTTTTAAATCTGGAAGTCTATTTGCAGAAAATTTAAAAAGTATTTGACTACCAAGTTTCAATTATATACTAACTAGCTCACACTAGGTTAAAATAAAAGTATGTACTACAAAATAATTACTTAAAATCTGAGAGAGTCAAAAAGAAACAAGTTTTTAAAATTGCACATCTAAAAGTATCACAGTTTATGCATTATCAGTTAATCCAAAGAAAACCAAAATTTCACCTGAACAACAAATGTTTTATCTCCAAATCCTGGTGTCATTCCCAAAATGCTCATGTACGAAGCTTCATTGATGAAATTTTCAATCCCATGGAAAACACCACGACCAGTAGCAGAGATACGTCCATGGATACCACCTTGACTGATAGGTTTACCAGTAACACAGGCATGTGCATTAATGTCCTGCAAAAGAAAGTCATAGTCCAAAAAAAATGAATGGCAGGTCCAATTTCTATATGAACCAATAAAATGAAGGAATAAAGTCAAAGCATGTTGTTATTATACAGGTGTACTTTCCCCAGTAGAGACAAGCTTTACTCAGCTGCCTGATCCTAGAAAATATGTAAGATATGGTATTTTCTTTTTTTCTTCTATTTTTTTTATTATTAATTTCAATGAAAATTTACAGAGACTTTGTATTTCTATTCTTTCATTGTTGTACTTTTCTCCCCTCACAACCCTCCCCCCCAGTATACTACCCTCTTGGAAAAGTAAAAGAAAAATTCTTTCATTGTTTTACAATCCCTTCCCCCATTATGCAGCCTTCACTCTGGACTCAACAGATGGTATTTTCTAACAGGTCGAAAACAAAGAGCTTTGCAATTTATCAAGTAAGCACAAATACGGCATCACAAAAGCAGAGATCATTCAGCTTAGACTACTTTCCCCTTATCAAATATTTAAACCTTACTAAGTAAAGGTACATACATACTCATGTCTTTAAATCTACCATAGGCTCAAGTACTTCATAATCCAGTCTAGAACAGGAAGGTGTGCTACAATGTTGAACGGGAAGACCTAATGTTGTAAATACAGTCTTCTACCAAAGTAATACAGAAATTTAATAAAATGCCATTTTTGAAAAAGGGAACTTTAATGATTCTTGCTTTTTTGGAAAGGGAGATTAACAAAAGTATTCAATAAACTGGGGGGAAAAAATCCCATCCAAATGAAAAACAACAACAAAACAAAAAAACCTCTCACAAATCAGAAAACGAAGGAATTCTGAAATACACCTATTAAGTTAAAAATACCTACTGATGCAGAAATTCCATTTTTGTATATTTAATATGGTCCCCTTGGGGTTGAAAGGGGAAGAGGATATGAGGTAAGGGACAAAGGTTGCTGTGCCTGCCTGCCTACAGGTAGCAGTTATCAGCTCTAAGTGGACAAATGAGGCTGGCAGGGCTACCTTTCTATATTCTTTGTATTAATGATGTGTATGCATTATTGCTTAACAACCAAGTATAAGCAGAAAAAAGAATGGAAAGGCATCCCTTTCTAAGATAACAAATATATCATAAGCTGTAGTAACACAAACTGTGGAACAGAAAAATCAGTCAAATCAGGGCCGCAGAACCCTGAAAAGCCTGTTACATACGTATTGTTGTTATGTTGTCCAGTACTCTAGGACTCACAGAGAACTCATGAGCAAAAGATTTGAATTTTGCTGTATTCTGTACTATTTTCACAACTCCTTCGAAGCTTCAGCACAGTATCACAGGCACTGGCTCAATCCATCTTAGAGTTGGGGGTTTTCCTCTCCTTCTCTGATCTTCCTACCTTTCCCTCTATGATGTATTTTTCCAAGGACTAGTCTCTTTTGACAACATGCCCAAAATATGTGATGTGAAGTTTCACCATCTTTTGTTTCTAAGGAGTACCCTAGCTGCACTTTCTCCAACACAGATTTATTTGTTTTTTTTTGGCAATCCATGGGATATTCAATATTCTTTGCCAGCACCACAACTCAAAGGCATCAATTATTCTATTTTCCTTTTTCAACTGTCCAACTTTCAGATGCATAGGAAGCAAATCAAAGTACCATGGCTTGGATCAGATGCAGTTTAGTCTTTAAGCTGACAACCTTGCTTTTCAGCATTTTGGAAAGGTCCTTGAAGGTAGATTTCCCTAATGTAAAAAGTCTTATGATTCCTTAGCTACTATGGGTATTAATTGTGGATCCAAGTAAATTGAAATTGTTGAGAACTTCAATCTTTTTTCTCCATCTATTCCAGTGGGAAGGATTTTTGTCTTCTTGATGTTGACATTTAATTCACATTGTGTAATTTAAATATAAGGCTTTTGATCTTGTATAGGAGATCAATATAAACAAGAGTGCATTTTACCTTGGTTAATATACTGACAATTTAATAAACTTGCCAAGGACTATTTGATAAACATAGTCCAACTTCCAAATATATATTACAGTTGGGGAAGTTAAAAAGTGACCTGGCCTCTTTGTATGTAAGGCTTAAATGATTTTTATAATAAGAATTGTGTTACTTTTGTACTTTCCAACAATAAAAAAGTGTCTAATAAAGTGATTTTCAGAATTAACAGTTTTTTCCCACATACGAATACAGAATTGTAAACTAGGGACAAATGCTATTTAAACAGCAAAAGTGCAAATGCTGGCTTTGATTAATACAGTCTGAGGTTTAACATAGTGCCAACTGCCAAGCTCACCAGCATACTAATTATTTCTAAAAGTCTAGTGGTAAAAATAACCCCCTACCAATATCGAGCTTCCAAGTGGTCCTAGGGAAAAAGGAGCTGTGTGATTCAGGCCTGTGTCTGGAATACTAATGAACAAAAACTAAGGCTTTCTAACATTGTGCTCTAGTTCGGATTTTCTATGACTTAACCAAGAAAAGCCTTTTTTATCAGTATAGTCAAAGTTTAAAAAAGCTGTGTGTCAGGAAGTGTGCAGATGGCACAGGACAGAATAAGGTTCAGATATTTTGTTCATAGGGTCGCCATGAGTTGTTCTGAATTGTACTTGACTTGACGGCACCTAACAACTAAGTCAAAAGTTCAGCTGGCACTGTTGTGAATAAGCAACAAAGAATATTATTACTTGCTGGTTTATACCAACTACTCTAGTATCTTGATTAAGAAGAACAAGAGATTAGATATTAATTACACCCAGAGCTCATTTACATGATACTAAAAGGTGACAGATGCACACATGACTGTCCTTTTTGGGACTGCTCCTGTTTTATTTCAGAGGATCTGTGCAGTTTACATGGTGCAGTACAGAGGTCTTGGCTGGGGGTGGGGAAGGTAAGGAGGAGTGTATAAATAACCAGTTAACCTGTGCAGCAGCTATAGAAAAGGTGTAGTGGTTTGAGTTTCATCAGAGGTGAGACTGGAAGAAAGGACTGGCAACCTCCTTCTGAAAGATGAACCACTGAAAACCACGTGGAGGACAGGTCAGCTCCCATGCCCGAGTCAGAGCTGGCCTGATGATCATGCATTGTATTTACCTTTATATTTGCTAAGGGTTGTGCACTGTTATTCATGTCACACTCATAGCTATACTATTATTAATCTCATTTTACATATGAGAACAGAGGCAGCTGCTTCAAGTAAAAAAGCTGGCTAAGTGAAGTGGCCATGACTGACCTCCAAATAGCACCTGGGCTCCCAACTGCTAAGGGTGAACCATCTTGCAATGTGACTGACCTCCAGATGCCACCATTTCCCCTTGGCCTCCTTCTCAGAATGACTGTCCTCCTCTTTCCAAGGCCAATACTTTCCCTATTGTTAGGTGCCACAGAGTTTGTTCTGACTCATGGTAACTTTCCATTTAAAAGAATGAATAAGACCCAGTCCTGTGCCATCCTCACAATCATGTCTGACTACATTCCTGCAGCCATTGTGTCTATCCATCTTGATGAGTCTTATTCTTTTTGTTGACCCTCAACTTTAACAAGCATGGAAGCCCTTCCCCAGGGCTATCAGATGAAGCACATGAGATGAAGTCTCCTTTCTAAGATGTGTTCTAGTTGTACTTGTTAGCTTTTCTAGCAGTCTATGGCCTGGCTGATATTCTCCATAACATTCCACAACTCAAAGGCATCAATTCTTCTTCAGTCTTCCTTATTCAACATCAACTTCCCCACAGCATGGTATGTGTCTGGTGCACCTTAGTCTTCAAAGTGACATCTTTCCACTCAAAATTCAAACTAGCTCATTACCCTTGAGTCGGAGTTGACTCAAAACTCACCCTCTATTGAGTTTCTAAGGCTGTAAATCCCATGGGACTCCTCCCATCTTTCTCCCACAGAGTCACTGGTGGATTTGAACCAACAGGGAGGTGCCATTTATGGGTAAGCAGTGCAACGCAACACAAGAGCTCACTCCATGTCGTTGTTATGTGCTAAGTTTAACTCAGAGCAACCCTAGGAGAAATGGTTGTGACCTCAGCACTATCTCAGTTATACTTGGTCGCACTGCTATAGTCACTGTGTCAATCCAACCTGTTGAGTCTTCTCTTACACAGACTCCCAAGCATGATGCCCTTCGCCAAGGACTGGCCCCTCCTTACAACATGCCCAGAGTTTATGTGGTTCTTAAATAAAAAAAAATCCCCTGACACTTTATTCTAGCAGAGAACTCTGCTCCTTTATCACTGGCACTGGCAGGATCTCTCTTTCACCAATGAATCCACACCCACAGCTACTCATTATGCCAGACAACAACAAAACCTTTCATTTAGGACGAAAGCCAAGTTTCAAGTCACCTTCTCTTTGCTTCTCTCCATTGACACTTCTCTTGAGTGGACGCTCACATTATGGCCTACTTCCCACTCTCAATGCCAGCTGCCTGGCTCCAATCTCATTATCCACAGCTTTGTTGCGGAATCTGGTCTTTCTGTCCCCAGCATCTACAGTGCTGAGTTCTTAGGGCCCCTCCGTCATTCAGAACTTTCTGCTTTTCTTCCCTAAGTTACTCTTTATTTTTAAAAAGTTTATACTGATTTGCATACTAAATTCATATACATTGCGTTTCACACATTTCTTTGTTCACATTGTGTTTTATCTGATCATTTCCATACATTGCATCTAATAAAACCAATCACCATTGATCTCTGCCCACTATCACTCCGTCTTTTCAGGTCCCCACTGGATCTTTCCTAATTACTTTATTTACTCCCTCTGCTTACCGAACTATGACCCCATGACTTCCCTTCTCTTCACCTTTCCGAGGTTACTCTCAAAGCTGTCCACTTCTCTCCAACTTCACTGACCCCACTATAAGCCAGGTCATACTTTATCTACTTCTGCATCTTAGCTCCTCTTTAAATTGAGTCATGGAGGAAAAATTAATTTCAAATGGTTCTTTCTTTCCCCATCAATGTCCAGTAATGTTTCCTAATTTATGAGCAAATTCTTTGAGGGGCCAACCTCAGGGAACAGAAAAATATGTAGGTAAAAGCTCAATCCATGTGCACTAAATTTATGATTCAAGAGTGGAGAAATAGAAGTAAAATAATATACATGCCAAGATTATCATTAAAAGTGAGGAGAAAATTCCAGTAGTTTTCAACCGTCACGGCCACACACAGTAAGTTTAGTGGCTACAATAGGCAGAGATGTAGTAAAGGATGCTATCAGGGTCTGGCAGGTACTCACGTAGTGCCCAATGGTGCTGGCATAGGTGTCAGCGATCCAGGACATCTCCCGCTCACCTGTGCTCATGTCAGGGGCAGGCACATCAATGCCAGGACCTGTGGGCACATGGAAAGGGTACCAGATCATCTCAAATGCAAATATCCCTGCAACTTTCTATAGGAATAGTCATCAAAACTTCAGCTTTTACTTACTTAACCATGAAAGGAATAGAAATGTTGTTGTTATGTGCCGTCGAGTTGCTTGCGACTCATAGCGACCCTATGTACTGTTAACAGCTCTAAACTCTGCTCTGTCCTGTGCCAATCTCATTGTCTCTGACACTCCCATCCCGATTGCCCCAGTCACTGAATCAATCCACCTCCCAGAGGGCCTTCCCCTCCTGCGCCTGCCCTCCACCCTCCCAAGCATGATGTCCTTCTCCAAGGACCGGTCTCTCTTTACAACATGACCAAAGTATGTCAGATGAAGCCTCAGAATCCAGGAATAGAAATAGCCACAGGAAAAGAAAGGTTTTGTTTCTGGTGACCTTAGTGTCCTAACTATAAATGGAGACAATACCTCAATCCAGATAAGCAGAAGTGCTGCACACAGTACTTAATATATCACATGTGGGGACGTACACCCCTCAGCAAGAAGGAAAAAAGGCAAGAACCCGTGTCCCAAAGCAGCTGCGACAGACACTGTCACAGCTTCCCCAGCAAGAGCATTGCTCTGTCCCTCCACTCAAAGCCCACTCACTTTGTGTACATTCTGGGTCTTGGCTTTTAATTCCTCAAGTCACAACAAATTGAAGTGACCAGCAGCAACAGGTACCACTGACAGCACTACAGTGAGATTGTGGATAAAAATGTGTAACTGCTGCTATAAAAATATTCATAATAAAAAGAAAAGCAAACTAATTGTTCATAACAACTCACTGCAGTAGTTTCCATTTATAAAAAATTCTCTCTTTTAAAACTTAAACTGAGTGCCACTGAGTCAGAAGAGACTCACAGCTGAACCTCTGTTTGGTTTTTGAGGCTTTAAGTCTTAAGGGAAGAGACTGCCAGAGAGGCTCATATGTTGATGAGCAGCACAACTCCCTACAGACCATGCCACAAGAGCTCCCCATCTATAGGTGGCACAGATGGGGTATTCTTGTCTTCTAACCTAAAAGTTAGTAGCCTGAAGCGATATAATGGAAGACCAATCTCCCAATAAGATCATGGCCAAGAAAGCCATAAAGGATGGAAGCAGCAAACAGAGACCTAATGGAAGGACTGAGGACTGACGGCCAGGAAGAATGCACGTGGTTGAATGGAATAGTCATCTGCCTGTAAACTTTGACTCTGGTCACAATCAAGTTAAAAACAAGGACAAAACCAAAAAGTACCCTATGGAGCAGTTGTGTTATGCAGCATGCAAGGTTACTCTGAAGTGGAGTGGACTGGATGGCAACTAGTAAGAGTCAGTTTTACATCAGAAACACAAATAGTAAACGGTTTCTCAAAAACATCAATTAAAAAAAAAAACCAACAAAAATCCCCCAACTATGCCAAAGGCGATGGTCTTCCCCACCAGTGTTATCATCAGGCTTGTGGGTTTTCTATTTTGCACGAAACGCAAGTACAGAATACAAGGAATTCTTGAATTTCAAGTAAATTCTCAAATCTTATAGAAGAAAAGGTCTACCCTTTAAAAGTAGGTAATGTTAATTATATTTAAGGGTTAATATGCTATATGCAACCTTATAACCATATGAATTAAAAACATGTTATAAAATTATTTCTTCTCTTTATGTTTTTGTATGCCACTGTAGCTGATTCTCCAAGTGTGTTTTCAGAGGCAATAAATCGCATGGGAGGAGATTGATTATTTTTCTCTTGCAAACAGCTGGTGGATTCGAACCACATGCCATTCGGATTGCAGAGCAGCTTCTTAACACTTATTTCCATTCAGCAATTATGATAAAAATCACTCAAAAAACTAAGAATAGAAGATAACTTTCTTAGCATCATTCAGGCATCTTGTGAAAACCCCTTAACATTCTACTCAATGGTGAAATGGTGAATGTTTCCCCCAAAAAGATCAGGAACAAGAAAAGACAAGGCTGCCCACTTCTTTTCAACACTGTATGGAGAGTTTTAGCTAGGGCAATTAGGAAAAAAAGAAGAAGAAAAAAAGGTGTCATGACTGGAAGGGATCAAAGGGAAAAAGAGAGTTTACAAATAAGTTTAACAAGACACATGCAAAACTATAAAACATTTTTAAGATAAATGAAAGAAACCAAATAAATAAACTCTGTTTTGTGGACTAGAAGTTAACTGCAAGATGGCAACACTAGAGAGTCAATGTAATCCCAGAGTAAAAATTCTAGTTGCTTTACTTTATTTCTGTTGACAGTAACAAGTGGGTCCTATATTTACTAAGTGTTTCAAGGCCAGGATAGAGACTCAGGTGTAATGTGGAATCTCAAAGGCTCTACGGAAAGTGATGTCAGACAATAACAGATGAGCACCTCTGACTGGGGAGAGAAGGGGTTCTGGGACCACCTGGCAGGTTAGTCACATGAGGGGCTAAAAAGTATTTTACACACATAGTCAGAGAACTAGTTATTTTAGTTCTGATTTCTTTCAGTGGTTCAACAAATCACCTTTTAACCTTTGGGATGAGTCAAAGTACTTGTTAATTTAGATAAAACTAACCTGGAGAGATGCCAGATATAGGCAATAAAAACAATAAAGTCTAAACCCAGTAAAGACTATTAAATATATTTAAGGCTAACAAGAGATAAAACTATGCAGGTTGATTTACAGGCCGAACATGACTTCAAATCTCAGAAAAAGTATTTGGTAATTAACTAACGCTTCCCTCATAAAAGGACTGTACCAGGAAATTTGATAAGTTATGAAAGATAGGCCAAATCTACGTATGTTTTAGTATTGCTTTTAATTTATTTTGTCTTTACATGTTTATTTCTTACTTTTTCCCTAAAAAGAGGACAGATTTCAAAACAAGGCACCCGCTGACAGTGAGGGTAACAGCAGAGAAGAAAAACACAAGGGCAAAGACCAGAGATTTTCTTTCCTCGTTCAATTAGTCTGTTTTCATTTAACTATGCTTACAGGGCACACACAGTTAATTTTGTTATTCAAACAATTGAGAACTCTTCTAGATATCGGCACATTTTGGGTGGGGGCAAAAAGAAAAGAAGGAATGACTAATATTTACATAGCATTGAAAAGAACATTCACATCTCTCATAAAAGAAGATGGAAACACAGATAAAAGACCGTAAGGTACCAAAAAAAATCAAGCAAGGAGTATTTTCAGAAATCTAGTCTGCTTGGCAGAAGATCCCTCACTCACTGCTGCTAAACAGGAACGACTCATAGTTGATCCTATGGATTTCCGAGGCTGCAAATCACATGGAAAGAGACTGCCTAACTTTCTCCTTTGGAGACACTCATGGATCTGAACTGGTAGAAGTGTGGGTGGCCTCACGGTTAGCATGGAAATTCCCTATGGACTAGGCCATCAGAATTCCCTATAACAAACAAGCCGCAGAACTCCTAAACCTGGACAGGGGTAGCAAAGTGACTGATCAGCATTTCCCTAGCTGCATTTAAGAACAACAGAATTACTACTGTAAAAACGGAACTATTTTTTTTTTCTTACATGCATACGACAGTATGTAACGGGAGCTCTGGTGGCTAAGCAGTAAGGAATTGTGCTGCCAAAGCAAAGATAGGCAGTTTGAATCCTCCAGCTGTTCCATAGGAGAACGATGGGCAATCACCTCTCATATGATTTCTTGCCTCTGAAAACTCATGAGGGTCAACCATAGTTGGGTCCCAATAGTACAGAACAACAACGACAAATCAGTGCCTAAAGATCAGCTTCAATTTTCCTGTATTTCTCAAATGAAAATGTACAACACTGCTACACCAATCAAAATTCACTGGGCCTGCACCCTCCCCACATGCTGAGGCTCAAAACTTTCCTAGAGATGTGCCTAAAATAGGTCCAGGTATGCCTACCATACCTATCACATCTCATCTCCATAGTAAAATAAAGGGCAACACTACTTATGTTCTTAGAGATTAAAAGCAAAAGCCTAATTTAAGCAAATCCATTGTTGTTAAGTTGGACTTCTGAGAACTCCATGTTATAAAAGCCCACCCACTAAGAACAAAAACAGAATATGCTTGTAAACATTCACTAATCTCTCTCTCTCTCTCTCACACACACACACACACACACACACACACACACACACACACACACACACACGGAGCCACTTTGTTGGTGGAGGGAAGCCTACCCACTGCTTTCAAGTCAATTCTTAACTGACTCTCTATTAGGTCTCTGAGGCTGTAAATCTTTATAGAAGACTGCCTTTTTTCCCCCCTAAGGAGACTGCTGGATTTCTATTGCTGATCTTTCAGAGCAGCCTGACATGCTACACACTATGCCACCAAGGCTCCCTGTTCTAAAAGCAGAGGTTTAAATCAGAACAATGACTGTTCAGTGGTTCCCACTTTAGTGGAAACAACATGGCAGTACCTACCAATGAAGCCCTTCTTTGCAAGCTCCATAGTGAACCTCCTTGTAATCTTTTCCAGTTCATTATCCTGTGAAGAAAACAACAAAAAACACACAAGGAGAAAAAAAGTTTTTTGACAGAAAATCATTTGGGGGAAAATGGCATAATTTTCTATTCACTGGACATTTTCATGCAGTCTTGTTTAATCGTCAGAATAACCGATAAAATTGGTATTTTCGTGTAAAGATGAGAAAAATGAGAGGGCAGAAACTGTTGCTGTTAGGGGCCATTAAGTTGATCACAACTCACAGTGATCCTATGAAGAGCAGATCTGAACCTTACCCTATTGTGCCCTATCCTCATAGTCATGGATATGCTCAAACCCACTGTTACAGCCATTGTGCCAATCTATCTTACTGAAGACTTTCCTCTCTTTCTCTGACCTTACTTTTTCCCCAGCATGCTGTCTTTTTCCAAGGATTGGCCCTGTTTAACAACATGTCCAAGGAGAAACCTGGTTTCACCCTTTGAAACAGACCTATTTGTTCTCTTGGCAGCCCATGGTATGTTCAATACTCTTTTCCAGCACCACGTATTGATTCTCCTTGAAGGTAATGATTTTGAAGCTCTGTCTCACACACTTTGGGCACACGGCCAGGAAGGACTGGTCCATGAAGAAGAACATCATGCTTGGAAAGGAAGACCCCAGATAAGATGGATTGACACAGTATTGGAGTAATAGGGGTAGGTGTGTTGGAGTCAGTGAGACTGACTTAATCGAGTCAGGATAGGGCAGGGTTCAGAGCTGTTGTACACAGGTTGCTATGAGTCACAAGCGACTTGATGGTGCATAAAAAAACATGTCTCAAGTATGTGAGACCAAGATTCACTATCGTTGCCTTTAAGGAGCACTGGGATTTCCTTGCCTCCAAGACAGACTTCTTTTTGGCAGACCATGGGATTATTCAGTACCCTTCTCAAATACCACACAACTCAAAGGCATTGATTTTTCTTCTGTCATCTTTTACTCATTGTCCAACTTTCAGATGCACAAGAAAGAAATGAAAACAAAAGAACAACAACAACCCCCCCCCAAGAAAAAACAACTAATAACAAAACAAACTCCCCCACCCCAAAACCATTAAAATTAAAAAACAAAACAAAACAGCAAACCCAAACCAAAATAATCATTGCTTGGATCAGGCACATCATGGTCTTTAAACTGACATTATTGCTCTTCAGCATTTTGGAAAGGCCCTTGACGGCAGAGTTTTCTAATGCAACACATCTTCTGATTTCTTGACCACTGTTACCATAGGTGTTGACTGTGGATCCAAGCAAAATAAAATCACTGACAACTTCAATCTTTTCTCTGTCTATCATGATCATGCCTACTGGTCAGTAAGGATTGGAGGTTTTTTCAATACTGAGATGTAATCCATACTGAAGGCTGGTCTTTGATCTTCTGCAGTAATCAAGTCCTCTTCCCCTTTTGCAGGCAAAGTTGTGTCATCTGCATAGTGCTGATTGTTTTTTCCTTCAAGCCTGATGCTGCATTCTTCCACCCCCTTCTTTTATCCTCTTCCTGTTCCAATGCTGCACTCTTCATGACAGAGTCCAGACTCTTGAATGATTTACTCAGTTTACGGATTGAGAATATAGGAAGCTCTGGTGGCCTAGTGGCAAGAAACTGCACTGCAATCCTGAAGACACAGCTGCTCCGTGGCAGAAAGGTGGGAAATTTCCAGTGCGATTGCCTGCCTCTGAAAACTGCTGGAGAGTCAGTTATGGGTCGGTTCCAACTCAAAGGTACACAACCACAACAACAATATGTAGCAAGAATACAAGCCTAATACACACCTTTCCTGATTTTAAACCACTCCATGCAGCATTCCCTTGTTCTGTTTGGGCAACAGTTTCTCAGTCTAGGTACAGGCTTTGCATGAGCACAACTGAATGTACTGGGAATCACATTCTTCTGAATGATAGTCATAGCCTGTTATGATCCACACACAGAAATGCCTTTGCACAGTCAATAAAACACAAATAACCTCTTTCTGGGATTCTTTGCTTCCAGGCAAGATTCATCTGACACCAACAATCTGTGATGCCACGGCCTCTTCTAAATCCAGCTTGAATTTTTGGCAGTTCTTTAAATAATCTAGCTGTTTTTAAATAATACTCAGGAAGATTTTACTTGCGTATGATAGTAATGATAGTGTTTGGTAAAAGCAGAAACTATGTAATAAAAACAGAACATAAAGATTCTCAATCCCAGTATCTGTGCTCTGTGGATTAAAAGAGACCATCCTGTGGTGAAATTAATTTCACTCTGTGGCTTTTTTGCAACACAGCCTGTGAGAGTTCCCTTTAGTTGTGAGTCATAAGCCTTTACCTTAATTTTCTACCATAGAACATTTATTACTTGTGTCCAGGTTGACTGACATTTTCTGGACAAGCTATAAAACTTAGGTTCTGTTTGTGTTTTGCCTGGTTCTGAGAGATAGCTTATCCTGTATGGGACTGGTCAATAGACTTTGAAAATGAAATGACTCTTGCCTACTATGCAAATGACTACTGACAATTGCCAGCCTACTGACAGGGAATTGGTCAGTTTGAGTACCTGGTGGAAATGCTATGACTTGAAACTGACAAGTTTATGTCAGTTTCACAGAGGTTTTAGGAACAAAAAGCAGCAGGTAGATAAGCAGATAGAAGGAGAGAGAAAAAAAGGGAGGAGAGAAAAAAGGAAGGGGAAAGAAAGAGGAGAGGAGCAGAGGGAAAAAGAGAAAGCCAGGAAGCTCCTAAAAGAGCAACTGAGAGGCATGGAAGACCAGAGCCAAGGTCACAGTGGGAGGTCTGATAGGGCGAGTGTGGTTTGTGACAGAAGGCAGGGGCACAGGAAGCTTGTCCTGTGCTCAAGAAGGACACCAGTGTCCATGATTCCCGCTTGTCCTGTGCTCAAGAAGGACACCAGTGTCCATGATTCCCGATCCTGAGTAGCAGAAGGAAGCTAGAATGCACAATTCCCGATCCTGAGTTATCGGAGGATGCTGGCATCTGTAAATCCTGATCCTGAGTTGCAGAAGAAAGCCTGCATCCATGACTCCTGATCCTGAGTTGTAGAAGGACTCTGGCATCCATGATTCCCTATCCTGAGTTGTAGAATGACGCTGGCGTCCACGATTCCTGATCCTGAGTTGTATAAAGAACCTAGCATCCATGATTTCTGATCCTGAGTTATAATCTGTTACTTCCTGATAAACTCCACAACTTTAAGTATGGTCTATGAGTTCTTTATGGCCATTTCAGCAAATGATCAACCCTGGTATAGAAGACGCAAGCCATGGGAAGGGATGCTGGTGAAAAGGCTAGAAGTAGTGAACTGTGTATGACCAATCAGCTCAGAGGGGTCAGCACTGGACTTATGGTGATGTTGCTTCGCTCTTCCCCGGAAGTTAGGCTAAGAGGCCTGATAACACTATGCCATTTCTACTCACCCCTATGCTATAGTTTTACAAGAAAGGTGAATTTTAACGAGGCAAAATCATCTGAATTTATTACAGATTGCTAATTCGACACCATATAAAACAGTAACAACTAGCTTTAACTTGGAAATGACTGTATAAGCAAGATTTTTACTGGATTACTTAAAGTTTTTACCACTAGGACTTTGAGATCTCCACATCAGTATTTCAGATTATCTGAATGTATCAGCATGGGTAAGTGTCTAACACTATGACAGTATTAATTACGGTTTAACCATGAAGGAAAGTGAAAAAGGACATTGACATTAAGCAGGTGACCTTTTACATGGCAAAACACTCAATGAGTTAATGATTTACTTGCTTTCCATGGCTTTTCGAAAAGCAATGTCCATCCGGATGGGGGATAAGCAAAAGCCCAGTCGTTTCAAGTACTTTGTGAATGTTCTGTGTGCACAAATATCAACATTGTACTTACAGTATAATTCTTGGGGTTGATTTTCACACCAGCTTTAGCACCCCCAAATGGAACATCTGAAAGACAAGGCAGAAAGCTGTTACTCTGTATCAAAGTTGAAAAACTACAGACTGCAGTAAACAGCATTACATAAACATGAGAGGCTTTCATTTCACAAAATTCATGAAATAAGCTCAGCGATCTCTCCTAAAATGCTAGTACTTAATCTTAACTGACCAAAAATTAAAAGACTTCAGCAAATTTCAATATACCTTTAATCAATGCTATTGACTATTACTGAAAAATATTAGAATTGATTTCCTCCTATTATGACCTAATCTTATGTATAAATAATATAGAAAGCTACCTATATATACTTTAGATTATAATTAAATCCTATAAAAAGATTTCCACTTG